ATTGGAGCTGCTTACAGAAGACTCATAGGAAGTGAAAATTCTCAGTACCCAAAGGATGATCAAAACCGCTCTTGGAGCCGGCGCCGTGGCTCAATAGGCTAATCCTCCACCTTGCGGCGCCGGCACACCGGGTTCGAGTCCCGGTTGGGGCGCCGGATTCTGTCCCGGTTGCCCCTCTTCCAGGCCAGCTCTCTGCTATGGCCAGGGAGTGCAGTGGAGGATGGCCCAGGTGCTTGGGCCCTGCACCCCATGGGAGACCAGGAAAAGCACCTGGCTCCTGGCTCCTGCCAGGATCAGCGCGGTGCGCCGGCTGCAGCGGCGGCCATTGGAGGGTGAACCAACGGCAAAAAAGGAAGACCTTTCTCTCTCTGTCTCTCTCTCTCACTGTCCACTCTGCCTGTCAAAAAAAAAAAAAAAAAAAAAACCGCTCTTGAAATCATGACAAAAATGTCAAGATTTTTAAAAATCTGAGACATGTTTTTTAACTAACCAAAATGTAGATGGAATAATGCAATAAATATCTATGTATCCATCACCTAGAAATTAAAATTGTCAATATTTTATATTTATGTAAATATTTTTGAGGATATTTAAAGCACTATAAAGTTGAAATCTCTTTCATCTTTCATTCCCATCCCACCTCCTCTTGTCCTCATTTTAGAGAGCACCATCAAATGTTGTTTTCCAGCTCACTGTTTGCACATTTACATGAATACATATGTTTTCATAAACAATTTATACTTTTGTTCTGTGTGCTTATTATAAAATATACATAATGGTGCCATTCTGCTTACATCATTCCACAGCTTGTTTTTTTTTTTGTTTTTTTTTGGTTTTGTTTGTTTGTTTGTTTTGTTTTGTTTTGACAGGCTGAGTTAGACAGTGAGAGAGGAGAGAGACAAAGAGAGAAAGGTTTTCCTTTTCCGTTGGTTCACCCCCATATGGCCGCTATGGCTGGCGCGCTGTGCCAATCTGAAGCCAGGAGCCAGGTGCTTCCTCCTGGTCTCCCATGCGGGTGCAGGGCCCAAACACTTGGGCCATCCTCCACTGCCTTCCCAGGCCACAGCAGAGAGCTGGACTGGATTAGGAGCAACCGGGACAGAATCCGGCACCCCAACTGGGACTAGCACAGCTTGTTTTAAAATATTTTTTGCTCTATATGCTGAAATATTTTGTTATATTAATAAAATTATTTATTATGCCTTCTCATATCCTTTTGAAATATATTAAGGCTGTTACAAATGATACTGCAATAGATTTGCTACACACAGTTTGAGTCCTCACATATGTAGTCAGGTTCTTCTAGGATGCTTATATAGAAGTGTAAATGACTGAGTGCTTATTAGGTGCAAGTTTGACTTTATTAAGTTATTGACAAATCACTCTCTGAAATGGCTGTGACAATTTGCACTCGTACTAGCAATCCATTTGCTGTCTGCTTTCATACCCTTTTGAATGCCAGATATTGTCAGACTTTTAAACCTTCGCTAATCTGATAGAAATATAAGAATATCTTCTTATTGTATTCCCCCTGTTCACTGGGATAATCTAGAATCTTTTCATGTCTATTAGCTCTTCTGGTTCCTGTTTTCATGGATTCCTAGTCATGTGGTTATTGTTTTCCTATTGGGTTATTTGTGGAGTTCTTCCCTTATTAATTCATAACAGAAATCCATTCTGGATATGAATTATTTAACCAGTATCTGGCTGTTGCAAATATCCTTTTCTTTTATTATTGTCAAGATCAATGTCTGTCACTCTTTAAAAATTGTTTATCACTTTTTTCTTTAGAAAGATCATCAAATTCAGTTTCAAGTGTGAAAAGAGCTTTATCCTTTCTTAGAGCAATGCAAGATACGTATGAAGTCTCTGCAGTTGGAGGATTACCTGTAAGCAGCTTCTGGAAGCCTAAGCAAAAACCTCCCTACAAAGGCCTTCAAAGCTCATCCTGAAATCTAGACATCAGCCCCCTCTTAGCATCTTGGGGTTAGAGATAAACATTCTGTAGAGCAGTGGCAAAACAGGAGAAATGGACCAGTAGCCAAGCAGGGTCTACTCGTCTCACCATAGCCTCAAAGTAGTTTGCAAGTAATGTCACTAAGTGAATGTATCAGTTCATGATCATTGCTTAGACATCTCAGATTTAAAGTTTCGCTTTGATGAGATGGAGTCATTCTATTTCTTCCCTCCTCACTAAGAGCAGGTTTCAATTATAAATTATGCTTAAAGAGGTCTAAGGAGGTTGTACTCAGATGCCTTCATCCTGATTAATGATTTGCAATGACTGGTTGAGACTTGTGGAAACACAAAAATGAAGCAAAATACTTGCATATCCCTGTAAATATCTGCAAAAATACTAGACTATAAACTGTGTGGAGGTGAGAGTCTCTGTGGGTTACATCCAGGATGGAATGTCCTCAGCATCCCATGCTGAGATGTTAATCCTGGTCAGTGGGGATATGCTGGGAGTTCTCAATCCACAACAATTTTTAAATTTTATTTAATGGATCTAAATTTCATGTATTTCCAACATACAGATTCAGGAATATAGTGATACACCCTCCCTCCCGCCCATAAATCCAGAACTAATTATTGAATCTCATTCTTGTTGAACACTCTATATTCTATGGGCTTCACATAATCAAAGTGACCAAAATAGACAAAAATCCCTGTCCTCGTGCAGCTTACATTTTAGCGGCAGGAAATAATATACCATGGAGGGGAGGGTAAGTGACAATGAAGAGAAATAGTGCAGTGCAATGGAGCAGAGAGGCGTGTGGAGGGAGAGGCGTCAGGGGTCCTGCCATGGACCTGCCATGGTTTCAGAAGCTTCCTAAGGAGGCGTCCCATTGGTTATCAGCTTTTTCTAGGTGGGGATGTATGAAGCCAGTCTCTGGGCTCCCAAAGCAGTCACTTCCATTTCCAGAGGTGAGTGTTCTTCTGTGGGGCACTTTGAGACTTGACCAAAAACTGTGTTGAATGCATTGATCCTAGGTTGGAAGAAGTTACTGGAAGACTGTGTAAAACATGCCATTCTCTGGGAGACTAGTTTTCACACCGAGCCAGAACGTCCGGCTCTGTCACCGCAGAGGGCCTTGGGCCAACTCTTCACTGTCTAAGCATTTTGTGTATTTCTGCCTGCCTACCTGTCCAAGAGTTCATGTGACTCCAATAGGTCTTTTAAGCCCAAGGTGTGTTCTCATCCTGTAGGCAACCATAGACTACAGCTCATGGAATGATTTTACCAAAAAGGTCCCAGGAAGCACTTCAGGTGCAGAAGTGAATTCACGTACAGAAACCGCTGTTCTCACAGAACATCCAGACAACAGAAATTCGCCAGCTATTATTAATACAGATCTCCTTTTGCCTTCATGTATTTTCTAAAATCGATTTCAAGTTCCCAGCAACAGCTAGGGAGTATCCACGTTCCTTGTTCCCCTCCCTCTTAACCCATGGACTACAGAGACAAAAATTAGGCTGCTTGCTAACTGTGTGGTGCTTCCACCACGGAGTTCCAGGAACACCTTCCAAGGAGTTTCACTGTTGCTTTGTTTGCTTGGCTGTAGGCAGCAGACCCCTTCGCATCTCCGCGGTCTCCCTCGCCCCGCTGCTGAGGCCGACCTGCAGCCGTCTGACGGATGGGTTGGCTTTTGCAGGTGCTGTAACCTCGACTCACAAAATGCGGCCTCTTCGAGGAACTAGCTCTCCAGCTGAGACAACAAATGCAAGCGTTCGCTCATCTTTGGAAAATCACTGACCCGCGGTTGTGTTCTCCACTCTCCATCGGGTTCTTAGTCCCGAACGCTCAGAATGTGACACGGGCTTTGCTCGGACGGAGGTGTGGGTCTCAGATTTCTCATCTAACGTGTTTCCCTAACGTGTGCCTCTTTAATACGTTACAGAAAACCCCTCTCGCCCGCAACCGGGCTCTCCCTTTCAAGGATCATGAGACAGGGAGAGTTGGGCGGTGCGGGCCCCTTCGTTGATCATCCGGTCGCTCCCCCCTGCACGCTCACAGCCGAGGCCGCCGGCCTCGGAGCAGAAAGGCCCGTGGCGGGCGAGGAGAGGAAGGTGTCACGTCGGCGGCAGGCTTCTGCTGGCGGCCGCCGGGCCCGCGGGGTTAACCGGGGCTTCGGGGTCAGAGCCCTCGAAGTCTCGGGGCTTCCGAAAAAGCTGCGGCGACCGCCGGACTAGAGCATCCCTCAGGTCCGTTCCCTCCAGGGGGGAATGAAGCGCTGGGTCGGCGGCGATCCCGCGAGGATCTCGCTCTTCCCGGGGCAGCCGCCACGGCCGCGCGCGGGACCGACGCAGGCCAAGCGGAGCGGGCGATAGGAAAAGCCCAGAGCTGGGGCCGAGGAGGAACGAGGGGCCGAGAGCCGGGGGGATTTCCTCCCGCGCTTCCCTCTCCAACGGGAGCGGAAAATGTGATTTGCTGTGCATTCCAGGCGCGGTTCCCTGGGGTGACCTCTCCCAGCCGGCCGGGGCGGGGGGAGCAGACAAAGAGGCGAGGCGGGCGGAGAGGGGACCCCGCGGGGGAGCAGGAGGGGTGCGGGGGCGGGGGCAGTACCGGGAAAGGGGGCGGATAGCGGGTCCGGCGGCGGCAGCGGCGGCGGCGGCGGCGCCTGGCCAATGGAGACGCGCGGCCCCGGGCGCCGCGCTCGGCCGCCGGCATTTAAACCGGAGACGGCGCGATGCCCGACACTCGGTGCGCCCTTCGCGGACCGGGCGACCCAGTGCACAGCCGTAGCCTCCCTCTCGGTTCTGCTGACCCCACGCCCAGCCCGGGCGGCTCCGGCCGCGGCCGCACGCAGCGCCACGCGTCGAGAGCGCAGGCCCCGAAGCCACGCCGCCCTGACAGGTGAGCGCGGAGACACCCAGCAGGGTGTGTGCGCGCGTGTGTATCGGCCTGTTGTATGTGCGTGTGTGTGCGTATGTGCGCCCCTGCCTGGGTGAGCGCAGTGGGGTATAGGGCGCAGCGAGCGACTCCCCAAGTGCCGCCGGGCTCAGATGAGCAGGAACCCTCAGGGCGCTCAGGCCGGGTCCCGCGGTACCTTGTGGGGATGAACCTTGAAGAACCCGTCTCGGGGCCCTTTCTTCAGGGGGCGTGGAATACGGTGATCTTGCCGCCCCAGGTTTGCAAGGATGTCAAGGGCGGGCAGGACGACCTCGCATCTTTTTCGCCTCTTGGAGCTCCGCGAACACGCTCCCGGTGCTTGTGGCAGCAGCGTCTGCCAGACCCGGCAGCACCGTGAGGGCGCGAAGTCGGACGGCCCGTGCGCCGCAGCAGCTACGACCTACGGCGCTCTAAGTGCCACCGAGATGGTTCCATGAAGATGGGGCGCTGTGCAGGGCCCGGGGGCGTCCTGGGCTGCCCTTGGCCCGAAGGTTCTGGAGAATCGGTGACGCGTTGCCCGATCTCCGAGGTGAGATGGCCGGAGCTGGGCTCTGATGCCGCGGAAACCCCGGCGTCGGGTAAATCTGACAGCTGGAGTGCGGCGCGCGGCCCCGGGCGTGGAGTCTAGCGAGCCCGCAGTGCGCACGCCGTACACACCGCACGCCGGGGGCTGGCGGTGCACTCGCTAGCTCTCGGTTTGCTACTCCGAGCCTTTCCCCGCCCGGGGCGCGCATGGGTGGGATTGCAGACGGGCAGGCGCCGGGCAGAGACCACCGGCTGCTTCCCACTTCCGCGGGAGCCCCTTAATCTGCATCCATGAGGCCCCCGCCTCGCCTCGCTGCGCGGCGGACGACCGTGGTCCCTAGTCCTCTCCGGCCTCCCTGCTCTCTCCGCCGACCCCTCCACAGGCAGTGCTGCAAGGCGAGGTGGGGGAGAGGGGGCGTCATCAGCTGTCACCTCCCTGGCCGGAATTATTCGTAGGTTTCAGGCTTGGGAAGAACGGACGTCGCACAGGTCTAGCTCGCCGTTGCTGTCAAGATTCTGGTGCCGCCTTGGGGGCGCCCCCAGCTCGGCGACGGTCGCCTGTCGAGGCGGGGACAGACTCGAGGTGACCAGCCAAGGCGGCGAATCCTTTCCCTCGCCCAGAGCTGTGCCCAGTGCGCTCCTGGCTCGATCCCCGAGGCCTCCTCCCTCTCTACTCCGAATTCGGGCTCCTTTAGACAGAAATATAGCCTCGAAGTTAGGGGTTAAAATCTCCTTTTAAATGGTCCGAGGGCAGAGAGGCGAGCCTTAGTGGGTAATTGGATCTCCTGTTGGAAAGAGCAAATCTGAGCGGTGTGCTCGTCTGTTTATGTTCCCCTGAGATGGTGCCAGGACACGAATGATTAAAACAATCTATGGTGTTCAGTGGGTCAGCGGGGTTGTAAGCTGCCCCAGGGACCCCAGAGTAGTGGCTTCCTTTTGGCTGTACACACAAGTTAAATAAATAGCGTAGAAGAGGTTAAGATAATCCCGATCCCAGGGTGAGGAGTCCTCTTTCACCCCCAGGGCTTACTCCCTCCCTGTCCCGCCCCCCCCCCTTTTTTTTGAGAAGGAGCTGCGGACAAGGGTGACTTGAGGGGATGTACTTTACAAGGCAAGGAGAGAAAGATCTTAAGAAAGCTGTAGATTTCTCCTCCCTTCCCCCAGCCAAGTCTACAGCAGTAAGTGATTTGATGACTATCGCTGAATAAATGGCACTTTCGAGTTGTTCGTGTTAACTAATTGTTTAAGGGTCCTTTAGAACTGTGGCGGCAGCGTGTGTGTCTCTATGAGTGTGCGCTTGTGTGTGTTTAACCTCGAGGTCACTGTAGGAATTAGAGGCTTTTGTAAACTTTGTAATTTCACAGGTTTCCTATTTTCTTCAAAGTTCATTTTGAGTGAAATGTTTTGGTAACCTATCATCTGTAGGAAATCCAGGCTGCCTAATGTAGTCTTTCTGTGGGTAATTCCACCGGGAAGACTGGAAACCTGTATAAGAACTGCCTACCCTGTCTTCTAAACTGAAACCATGGATGATCTCAGTGATAATGGTCAAGAATGACAACAGTGAAGAAATTTCTTGCGATAGACCTCTCTCCCAAGAAAGCTTTATCAGAGAAAGGCTTACCGCGTGTTCTAAGACAGGGAAACTTAAACCCTTTATGTAAAAAAAAGGGGGTGGTGGCTGTTGTTAGGAAGTTGACTGCTGTGTCTTACTGAAAGATAGTGCTCAAGCAAGTGCTACCAGCCCATGTCTTACGTCTGCAAGGAATCTCCTTTAGTTTTCACATATGCTCTCAAAAATGCAAAGTGCAGCAGGAATTCCTGACAAGGGGGAGGACTTTTTCTTCACTTGTGAACATGAAGATACAAAATAGACAGTTACTTGGTTTACAATATTCCTCAAAGTTTACTGCATTAGAAAACAAATCTCGGTGTCCCTTGTTAAGCAGTATGCTGGATGTCCATGGAACAGTGGCTAAGAACACTTGTTTGGGACCAGGTAGAATTGGGCTACAATCTTGGCCAAAACCTTGGCTCTCTCATTTCAGAACTGTATAACAGATTCCTGACTTTTCTGAGTCTGGGGATTCCCTGCTTAGCAAAAGGAAGACAGTATTTTCTACCTCATATTTTGCTGTGAAAAAAATGATGACATTCAGGCAGACTTTAGCACAATGCCTGGAGTAGTATAAGGATTCGACAATAGAAGGCAACTCCTATTATTAGTGGTGGTGTTGGGAGAAGTAGTCATAGTTGACAACACCAGGATATATCACAGGGCAGTTCTGAAATTTAGTCCCAGATCCCACTTACAGAGTGACTGGCACACATCTTTTACTGCAATACAGAACCTATAACTTGGCTGTCTCAATAGCAGCTGCTCAGTGAACATGTAGTATTTATTAATTTCTAACTTGTTTCCTGTTGACCTCAAGAATTGCATGCAATCATTAACTCTGTTTAAAAAGTCTAATCAACGTTGAGCTTTTGAGGTATTTTACTGCCACGTCTATGCAGTGTTGGGCTCTACCGTGCTTTTGCCCAAGATCTTCAGAACAGGCAGGTTGCGCTTAGGCTGCGTGTAACATCCTCTTACCAGTGTGCCAACAATTAACTCTCCTTATCTCCTTGATGCAATTTATGTGGGAAAAAAAATGTATTCTCAAGAAATTCTCTAATTTCTAAAAGCTGATTACTTTTGTAAATTAAAGATCCAGTTAACAATAACCTTTATTCTTCCAAAAAATTTCTGAGAAAAAATAGTTTATTCTAAAACCTGTCCAGCACTTAGAGCTTTTGTAGTCACTTCCATTGTTCCTTATGCCGAGAGAATAATTTGATGATATACCTGTTGAATGTTTTTATTAAATGTGGTTCATCAGATGGAATTCACCAGAAGTTCAGGCACAGAATCTGGCTTTCACTGTAATTTCTACTGAAAACTCAATTTTACTGATTGTGAGCAGATTAATTAGCTAAAATGAAGACTACAGCCAGAAAAGTGTTGAAAGGAGCTGGTCTAAACTTTCCCAGAGACATCCAGGAAAATGCAAATGGGTCACATGTGCAATAGTAGTCTACTGAGACCCAGAGTAGAAGATTGTGTTGATAAAGGCTTTCTGAAGGCTGTACAGGTAGAGGTGTTAACAAGGTTTATCTTGCTTGTAGATTTTTACGCTTGATTACTATGGGAAACTGGGAGAAAAGCAGGAGAGAAGATCCACTTCTAGAGTGTGTCTCTGAGGCAAGTAGAGTTGAGAAGAAGGTGGCAAAAGATTAAAAAAAAGGTGGTGGTAGGGAGAACAGCTGTAGAGATGGCTAACCATAAGGAGGGGTGCATAGTGTAATGGTTAGCACTCCGCACTCTGGCATCGATAACTATGAAAATACCTTTACTCGGAGAAGCAGAAATGCATTAAGGGGAAGCAGAGGTAGGACTTGGAGGGAAGAATGATGCTATCTGCAAAAGAGAATCAAGGCAGATATTTATCAGGTTCCAGAATGTGTCTGGGTACACGGGATGCAACTTCAAGTTAATGATATGAATAGGTCATTTCACAAGCAGAAATACAGTGTTTGTAGCTAATGGTTGGACACTGGTGACAGATGTGTGGGTCAGCATTAAGACTGATTTTTGGGTATGGGCACCCTGTTTGGGGTTGACCTGGAAAAAATGTTTACAAGAAATTTACATTTTCCCGAGTTCCTCCACATCTATGATATTTACAAAGTACAAATTATTTGGTGGCAATACAATTGGGACTTCAAGAGCAAAACATTCTTAGGCCCTTCACTGATTAATCAAGCTCTATTGGGGGTGAGGAGGGCTTGGGTGTTGGACCCCATGACCTGACAGAGCCCTAGTCCCAGTCCCAGTTACAGTCTCGTCCCTTCCCTCTTTCTTGTGTAGAATATCCATGTGCTTCAGAGCACTGCTGCTCTCAGAAGCTGAGCTCCCTGAAGGTGGCCATTCTTGAAGATGGCTTTTGCCTTTCTCACTGAAAAATGGTTAAGGATAAGAACTCCAAAGCCTCACATAAGCACTGAAGATCTTTAAATAATGTGCTTTTTAAAAATGAAAATCCATTTATTTCTGTACCTAAAACATCTTTTTTTGAGAAAAAACTTTTTGAGAACTTTGCTTTTCTTAAAAAATAAACAAAAACCCCAGCCTGTACCTCTTTGACTTATGGTATACAGGCTTTCATTGGAACAAGAAGTCTGTCCAAATTAAAACCGAAAAACCACAGTTGACCAGTTTTGAATTTACTGTTTTGTTGTTGGTTTCTGTCAGAGTGTGGGCAGTGGATTCAGTTAACTAATGAAACCCTCAGTGTTCTGCATAGGACCAGGTGAAAAGTCAGGAACATTTGGAGTTTTCCTAGAAAAAGAAAGACAGTGTTAGGAAGCTTGCAAGACTAGCAGTTTGTCAAGCTGTGGATTAACCAGAAACCGAAAGCATTGCAATTGGCTCTTCTGCTCATTGGCACCAGTGAAGGCACCTTGCATTGTGGTGCAGAGGGTTAAGCTGCCACTTTTGATTTCCATATTGGAGTGCACGTTTGAGTCCCACCTGCTTTGCTTCCAATCCAGCTTCCTGCTTAGACACTTGGGAAAGCAGTGGAGGATAACTCAAGTGTTGAGGTCCTTGCCACCCATGTGGGAGACACGGATGGAGTTCCAGGCTTCAGCATGAGCATGACTGAGCCTTGGCCAATGCAGTGATTTGGAGAATGAACCTGCAGATGGAAGACTCTCTCTCTCTCTGCCTTTCAAATACATAAAATAAATCTTTTTTTAAATATTCAAAAAATACAGACTCTGTAAATCACTGTAGTCTATAACAATCATTCATTTAACAAATTTTCATGAGAACCTCGTCTGTACCAGATGAATAAGGTGAGGTGAAGAATAAACCCTCATCCACTTTCAGACCAGGCATTTCTTCAACAACAGATGTGGACATGCCGAGAATAACAAGCTGAGTATAAAGATGGGCCTAAGTTTGTCCAGAGGAAGAAAGTTACATTTTGGGGGTTGGTGTTTGTGAAAGAGGATGGCCTTATGATGTGAAGCTGTAAAATGCAGTCGACATCTGTTCCCAGCGGATCTCAGCTTAGCCTCTGAGACAGACTCAGTGTATTGGTTTGTGAGGGCTGAATTGGCCTGGGGCTGTGTTTAGTATGTGTGGAGGAAGATTGTGGGCACAGGCATGGGGCCATCTTATGTACTACTCCTTTGAAATGGGCAGTGAATGAATTTTATTTTAGACCTTGGCCTTTCCCTTTAGATCTTGGCCTCAATTGAATAAATAGCACAGACTTAGGAAAGCTTCTCAAATTTGCAGTGTATTTGCCCAGGAGACTTAATGGTCATGGCTCAAGTTATCCTGGTCTCTGGAGAAAATCAGTACTGTCTTATAACTGGACTTTTCTCATAAATGATTTTCGAAAAAGACAAAACAAAGAAATTAATTTTTTGTTGTTGGTGGCAGAAAATGCTCTGTTTAAAGAACAGGGATGTTGTAACATAAACTGACAAAAGCCAGGGAACCTACAGTCAGAGCAGGAGATAAATGTCACATTATCAAGCTCCAAACTCAAACTTGCCCAAAGTATTAGGTTAATGCTTAAAAGATGATACCATTTAAGGATGTTTTAAATTGAATATTTAATTATCTTAGTTTGACATTATCCTGAGGGTTGAACAGTCTTCGCTCACCAGAGGCCATTCATTAGAGAATGCTGCTTCTGCACTGCCTTTGTATTTGAAAGATAATTGCTCGAGATAGTAATACGGACTTGTCCAGTTTCTTAGGGGGTGGAAATTATAAGGTTCTTATTAAATTGCATGCAGAGGTGATCACTCTATGACCGCTGTTCAGAAGAGAGCAGGAGGGGCCTGCACTGTGGCGCAGCGGGTTAAAGCCCTGGCCTGCAGTGCTGGCATTCCATATAGGCATTGGTTCTAGTCCCAGCTGCTCCTCTTCCCATCCAGCTCTCTGCTATGGCCTGGGATAGCAATGGAAGATGGCCCAAGTGCTTGGGCCCCTGCACACACATGGGAGACCCGGAAGAAGCTCCTGGCTCCTGGCTTAGGATCTGTGCAGCTCCAGCTGTTGCAGCCATCTGGGGAGTGAACCAGCGGATGGAAGACCTCTCTCTCTGTCTCTACCTTTCTCTGTAACTCTGTTTTTCAAATAAATAAAATAAATCTTTAAAAAAAAAAGATAGCAGGGAAGTGGGTTCTTCACAGCTGTGCTCTTAGGTTCAGAAAATCACAGGCATGAAGTGGGGGTTGTTTCAGCCTTTGGGTCAGAATCTATGATGGCCTCAGGACGGAGGCTGTGAATTTGAAACTGTACTCACTGAAAAGAAAATCTTTCTGTATTTTTAAAAAAGATTTAGTTATCTTATTTGAAAGGAAGAGTTACACACGGGGGAGTGGAGAAAGAGAGAGAGAGAGAGAGGGAGAGAGAGAGAGGAAGAGAGATTGAGAATCTTCCATCTGCAGGTTCACTTCCCCAATGACTGCAATGACCTGGGCTGGGACAGGTTGAAGTCAGGAACCAGAAGCTTCATCTAGGTCCCCAACATGGGTACAGGGACCCAGAGACTTGGGCCATCTTTTACTGCTTTCACAGGCACATTAGCAGGGAGCTGGATCAGAAGTGGAACAGCAGGGACTCAAACCAGCACCCATATGGGATGCCAGCTTTGCAGGCATCAGTTTAACTTGCTATGCCACAACGCCAGCCCTATCCTTCCATATTTTAATAATTCCCTCTGGACCCATGACTACAAATGCTAAAGCTTTGCCACTCAAAGTCTGTTAGGCAGATCTAATCAATCAAAATCTGCTTTTTGACAATATCTCCAGATGACAATCTACACATCCAGTCAAGAAGCACTGCCCAGGAGAGCCTTTTTTAAATTGACACATCATAATTGTATGTATTTATGGTGTTGTCCTCTGGACCAGTCTGGGTGGCGTGTTTTCCCCAATACCTGGTGACAATTTCAACCTCAGGAATTATCATTTTTCCAAGAGGTCCTTTTACCATTTAATCAAATGATAAGCCAAATGAGGCAAAGATAATTCCCAAAATTAACTGATATACTACAGGGCACACAAAAGCAGAACAAGCAAAAATAAGAAAAATGAATACGTGGAAATGTAGGTGAATATAGGTTAAAGAAAGTTACTTGAGCACAGAATGCTGGTAAGGAACCAAATGCTGGGCCTCCACAGTAGACACAAATGGTTCAGGTCCACAAGGTGATGTTCCGTGTGTCTGATCCCATCAAGCCATAGGCAGTAAAGAGCTTTTCACTCCAGCAGTCTCAGCTGACTGATGCTTTTTCAAAGTGAATTCTCTCAGGGGAAATGGAGTCACAGACATATGTGTCTGAAATGGCATTTTGTAGACACTGGAATTTATTATCCCCAGAGGTGTATTATCTTAGCTTTCAGATGTCAGCCTTGGAGGGAGTAGCCCAGGACCCAAATGGTCTCATTTACATATCAGCCAGCAACTTGGCTCAGTTATAGATTGTTACAAGAACAAGCTCAAAATGAAATCTGTGCTGTCCAAGCATAGTTTCGTTAACCATAATTACAGTATCAAGATACTTATATTCAGAAGAACCATAACACAGCAGAACTCAGATCACAACAGGGGAGTGGTATGATAATGCAATATGTGCATACAATGTGCAGTGTCCACGTCAGGATAAGGAGCAATTAATTCCCTGTCCCCGGGAGAATCCTCAGAGTGTGACACTTCTCTCCTCCACAGTCCTGTGGATCAAATGTGGTTCTCCTGGTCTTCCTCCTCCTCTTTCTCGGCGTGCCCTACCTTCCCTGAACACTTTCCCCCTAGAAGAATGCTCCCTTCTCCAGTTGGCACTCTTCACTCCATTTTTCTCTCTTCGTCTGTGCTTTCCTGCTTTTTGTCAGTTTCCCCTCTACTTCACCCTTTATTTTTTGCCATTGTTCCTAGGCAACCCATATCTAGGTCCAGACTCATTCACAGTAATTCATTGTCACTAATTTATTGAACATTATTAATGCAAATGTGTGCACATATCTATTCAATTGTGCCAACTTTTCTTTCTTTTAAATAGAAAAAATACACACATAGACACATAGATGGATGACATAATACCATTTTAAGGGTAGAAAAATGCATGTCATTATATAAAGAATGATAAAATGAGTATCTGTGCCCAGTTTAAAGGTAAGAATAATTGTTGGCAGAGAGAGATCAAGGAATCTTACTGGTTATGTGATCTGCTGAGTGTATCTGTTCTCTCTGCAGTGGCATTATACGTTTGGTCAGTTCTCAGATTGCTTCACTTTTACATCACATTTGATCTGAGAGGAGAGATAGTTATAGCTTTGCTTCAATGTAGTTATTTATTGAGAAGTAAAGTGACTTTGCCAAAGTCAGATATCAAGTTGTTGTCCCCCAACTGAGATGAGAATTCAGTCTTGACTTTTCTACCTTTGTGCTTCTTGTTAAGTTGTTGTCCCTGTCAAGTGGTTTCTGGTCTCCTTCATGCATCCCTCCTTCTGATGCATGATAGCAGCACAAAGTCTCGCAGCATTCAAGCAGTGGAGCAAGGCACAGCCCAGGCAACTCTCATAGTGGTTTTGGGAAAAAGACAGAGCCTTTCCTAGTGGATGATGCCTTCTGGGCAGGGAGACTAATTCTTCTGTTTGTGAAACAAGACAGAAAATATGTTCTCCCAATGAAGTACAAAGGTAATATGGCATTGGCACTGTAGAAAATTACTAAATGTGGTCAAATACAAGAATGAATACAGCCAAAAACCCACAATACGAAGTCTGATCTAGTTGGTGTCAGAAGGCAAGCAGAAATGCTTGTGAGAGTTCATGCAATGAAGAGGTAGTTCCTGGCTGAATGTGAACCTTGGGGAATTCACTGTGTGAGCTTGGACAAGTTACTTCTTGGCTCGGTGACCTGGAGAGGAATGGATGTAGGGGGACTCAATTCATAGGAGTATTGTAAGATCTAAGTGCAATGTTTTACATAAAGTGTTTAACAAATGCCACATAAAATGTGAGACACCACTCTTCATGCTTAAATTAACTTATTCATTTTCTATGTCTCTCCCTCTCTGTTCACCCTTCCTTTAGTATGAGCCGCACAGCCTACACTGTAGGAGCCTTGCTTCTCCTCTTGGGGACACTGCTACCGGCTGCAGAAGGGAAAAAGAAAGGGTCGCAAGGCGCCATACCCCCACCAGACAAGGCCCAGCACAATGACTCGGAGCAGACTCAGTCACTCCAGCAGCCTGGCTCCAGGAACAGGGGACGAGGCCAAGGGCGGGGCACTGCCATGCCTGGGGAGGAGGTGCTGGAGTCCAGCCAAGAGGCCCTGCATGTGACCGAGCGCAAATACCTGAAGCGAGACTGGTGCAAGACCCAGCCACTTAAGCAGACCATCCACGAAGAGGGTTGCAACAGCCGTACCATCATCAACCGCTTCTGCTATGGCCAGTGCAACTCCTTCTACATCCCCAGACACATCCGGAAGGAGGAAGGCTCCTTTCAGTCCTGCTCCTTCTGCAAGCCCAAGAAGTTCACCACCATGATGGTCACCCTCAACTGCCCTGAACTACAGCCACCCACCAAGAAGAAGAGGGTCACACGTGTGAAGCAGTGTCGTTGCATATCCATTGATTTGGATTAAGCCAAATCCCATCACAGCCAGCCTGCTCGAGGGAGACAGCCCCAGGCAGGCTCAGAGCCAGACCCCAAACAACCCAATTCTACTTGGCTTCAACTGAGAGGCCAGAAGAACTAGCAGCTGCCTCCTGGCAGGAGCCTGCTTGTGCGTAGTTTGTGTGCATGAGTGTGCGTGGGGGCCTGTGAGTGTTTTCAGACACCAGAGGAAACACGATCTCTGTTAGAGGATATTTCCTATTATGTAAACTTATCTGCTTAAAACGGGGATGGCCCAAAAAGCCCACAGCAGCCCGACTCACATCCAAAAGGTGCACAGCTGTGGCCTGGTTCTGCTTTGGCCACCCTGTGCCCTCCTGGGGACCACAATCTCCCTTTTGAATGATTCTTAATGGACGAGGCTACTCTGTGGGAAAGAGACTTGTGTTCACGCTGCATTAGACTTGGAAAAGTTCCTGTAACCTGTGCTTGCTTCCTCCCTTCCACAGCCCACTCATCCTTTTTTAGGTTCACAGTGATTATTGCAGTCTAACCCCATGTCTGCCCAGGTTTCTGAACTAATTCATTTCACCATGGATATGTTTTTCATTTTTGCAAAGACCCTCCAGACTCTGGGGAAGTTTGGCGTGGGCAAGGACAAGTGGGATAGAGGAGTGAGACTGAGGTTGAGGACTTGTTGAACTCAGCACAGTTCAGTAGAGAAATGTGCAGAGACCTTAAAAGGCAACTCCAAGCCAATGAGAGCCCTGCTTCAGTGAAAGTTTTTCCCGGTAGTTAATGGACCCAAGTGAACAGAGGAGAAATGTGATTGCCAAAAAATCGTTAACTCTAACTGTCCCTGTGATCTGCTGAAACTAGCTATAACCCAACACCAAACTGCAAAAATAAATATTTATTCCTATTTTCGGAACCAAGTAAGCAAACTAGACCAGCTAGAAGTATATTTGAGCCTTCCTGGCTTTGCCATTGTGAGGAGATTGAGCCATAGAGAAGAGAAGGCTAAAAGAAATGAAGGGGGCTGTCTCTGGCTAAGGAGCAGTGGGCTCTTACTACCCGAAGGAGTTGTAAGGGATATGACCTGGACTTCTTCATTTTTCCCTTGAAGGTTCTAGGGGGAAATTCTGTTAAGAAAGCAGGTCGTGGGGTGCCTTAGCTGTCCATCTACTGGTGTATCCATGTGACATTGTACCCTTTCTGTCCTTCCTGAGACACAACTTGGTTTGCTTCCAATGCCCACTTAGAATTTACCTAAGAGCCAAAGTACAGGGTAGATGAAACTCCTGCACTTTGGATTTAGATGACCTGTTCTCTTTAAACCTGAGGTTTTATATGTAGACACCACCAGTCTCCAGTCTCCCCTCCCCCCAGATGCTTTTTTTTTTTTTTGCCTTGTATCTTCTCAGCTTCACTAGCCAAGTCGTGTCGTATGGAAAACAAACACCACAGACTTGGGATTCAATTGCCCATCAAGGCTCCAGCATTCAAAGAACCATTGCAACCAAAGAAGCTGTTTTTATTTGTTTTTGTTTTGGTCCAGTGCTTTCCCATCTAACAACTAAACGGGAACCATATTTTAAGGCAGAAATGATCTTGAACACCCAAAACGTTGGGTCTAATTTTAAAACTTTGAAACTCACTACTGATGATTCTACACTAGGCAAATTTGTGCGAACACACAGTCTGTGCGTTTTGTATACACTGTATGCCCCTGCCCTAAATCATTGTATCATCCACATCCTCCAACAATAAAGCACAGAATGGATTTAATTAAGCACACAGATGCTAAAGCAGGAGTTTGAGGGTCGGGGGGAGGAAAAGAAAGGGGAAGAAACGGAACATGTAAACCCACACTAGAGAGGAAAAATGACATTCAGAACCGGCAAACACTGAATTTCTTTTGCTGTTTTAACTCTGCCACAAGCATGCAATTTTGTTAAAAAGAGATGACTTAAGTTGGCAGCAGTAATCTTCTTTTAGGAGCTTGTACCACAGTCTTGCATGTAAGTCGGATTTGGCTCAAGTAAAGAGAGTTTCCTCAAAATTAACTTCACGGGGATAATCAGCAGCATATCCACCCGAAAAACACAGCAATAGCTTAAGAGGGAAACGTCTGCTTTTCTTACTGTGCCTATATTAAGACTAGCACAAGTATGATGTGTCATCCAACGTTTATTGAAAATGCCATATCTGTTACATATTTTATTGGAGTCACCAATGATGTAATGGTATATTTTTTTCATTATTTTAGTAGAACTTTTTAATGGCAAGATATCTGTGATCTTAATCTTACCTATTAAAATAATGCCAAGCACCAAATAGGAGTTTTATGATGTACACGTTGTGCTTGGCATTAGAAGACAAAAACACACACCCTGTAAGTCGTTTTTTTATTACTGTAGTTCTTCAAAGTTAAAAGTATAAGTGAAAAATCTGGAGGAAAAGATAATTTCCACTGTGTGGAATGTGAATAGTTAAACAGAAAGTTATGGTTATTTAATGTAATTATTAATTCAAAGCCTTTGGTCACTGTGATTTCAAGCCTGTTTTCTTTTTCTCCTTCATGTGACTTCCTCTGAGCTGGGCAAAGAAGAAGCTGGCACAATGTATGTTGTTGGAGACTTTTAACAGGTCAGAGGGAAACAGAATCTCGACACATCTGAAGTTGCATTACAGAGTCAAGATCTGAGCTTTTATTTTTTTAATTGAGTGTTCCTTAAAGGTTAACATTGCTGAAGAAATATTAAGAAAGACTTTAAATGTTATTTTGGAAGACTTATGATGTGTGTGTACAAACAAATAGCAGATACTGATGGATAGTTCACAAAGTCCTGAAAGAGGAAAAATCTAAAATGATAAGTGTATGTACAGAACATTTATAAATGACCAGTTAATGCTTCAGAATGAAAGTAGTTCTATTGATTTGTTATTCCTTAAGATATTTAATATCAACCTCATTATGTATTATGTCTACTTTAATCATTTTAAAACAACAAAGAGTTATATAGACTGTGATTGAGGTGTCTTGCTGAGTTTGAGGGTGAGAGGGAATTTCAGAATCGCATAAAAGCTAATTTGGCTTAACGTTTTATAAATCTGTCACTAGATTTTAATTTTTACCCCAATAATGTTCTATATAACCTTTGCCAAAGAGCAACCAATAAATTAAACCTCTTCTCTCTGTGTGCTTGTGTTTTAACTGGTATGTTCCCAGGGCACAGGTGGGACAGAATTCACTTCTGGGGAGGGAGGTAGAAGAGATGCTGAGCTCCCCGGTGAGCTTAAATGGAATATATTCCTTCCATCTAGACCTTCCACATCTTGCTTGACTTCAAGAGGACAGCTGGGGCCACAGCAGTTAGAGGCAAGGGAGGCCTGGTGTGCAATTACAAGCACCAGAGCTTCTGCTAGAGGGAAGACCGGAGAGGGTCATGGTAGAGGAAGAGTTGTTCCACAGACAGAATAGCTCAATCTCAAGTTTTTCTAGAGAAAAACTGGAGGAAGATTTTGAGTTCTGTAGGAGAAAGAGCTTTCTAATGATGAGAGTGATTCAGTGATACCATGAGCTGCCTCTTGAGTGGTAAACTCCTTCTCTTTGGAAATATTTTAAAATATGAGTATGCCATATACCATGTGATAGGGATGAGAGGTAAAATGAGTTATTTCTTTAGGAGCACAACTGAACTAGTAGCTTTCTGAGCTCCCTTCCCATTTGGAACACAATATTATATGTCAGTATTGGTGCTCTGACAATAATAAAAATTCCAGCAACTCTGTATGGAGTGCTTATGCAAGATACTGTGAATTGTTTCTCACTTAATCCTCATGTTAGGCCAAAGTAGCTACTATTATTATTCCTGCTAAAAGCAGTGGATTTATATGGTCTTTCTGTAGTACCTGGGTCCTTCAACAATGAAAAAATACAAGATTTTCAACTTTAGTTTGTTCTTTGAAGGACACAGAACTCTAAAATAGAATATGGACTCTAAAATAGATCCAACACTTGATTATTCTGACCTAATGATGAAGGCCACCCTGAGGCTGAATAGTTGCTATCATCAGGAGCTCTGACATGTTAGTGAGAAACTAGAAGGCCAAATGCATGCTAAGGGCTTTCTGCAGGTCTAGGACTCCACATACTCCAGCGAGATGTGTAGAAGGTCCTCAGCTCTGACCTCAGGCCGATCTTGAGATGTTACGCAAGCAGAAGTGAGGGCTAAGACAGAGTTTTTAAGTTTTGGCTGAGTGCTGAAGATGTTCCCAAATTTTCACAGAGCTCCTTGTCAAAGACTGGTAGACTTATGGTTTCTAACTATTTAAGGAAATCACTGTTCAACCATTAACTGACCATTAATCTCAACAAGCAGATGCTTCAGTGGCCACATATAACGAATAATCTAATTTACAGAATTGGGTCAGAAACGTCATTCAGCAAAGAAAGAAACAAACAGCAAACCCTGGGAAAGACCCTCATCCAAGACTCACTTTTTTGCCACTATAAAAATCCAAGCAAGTCTCCTTATTCTTCTCTCTCAAGTTATTTTCAGAGGAGGTTGGGAGGTCCCTTCTGCTCTCCACAGAAAGACATTATGTGAACAATAAATTTCATTTCATCTTGGAGTATATGTAACATTATCAGCCTCAATGCCTGAACCTAGTTTTGAGATGGGTCCATACTGTTTATAAAGGTGTCTATAACACTTCTAAACAAACTACTGAAAGCGATTCAAGAAGGGAAAAATCTGAATAGAATTATCACAAGTAAAGATATTATACTAGTAATAAAAAAACTTCCTACAAAGTAAGGCCCAAGAGTGGGTGATTTCATTGGTTAATTTTAGCACATATTTAAAGAATTAGTACAAAAGCTTCATAAATTATTCCCCAAAATAGAAGAGGGTAAAATTTTCACTTGATCTTATAAGATTAGTATAGTAATATGCTGATATCAAATCCAGACAAGTATATCACAAAATAAAACTACAGATCAATATTTTTGAATATAGATCTGAAAGTCCCCATCAAATTCTACATAAGTGGATCCAGCACCATATTAAAAGGATTATACACCATGACCAAGTAGGATTGCTCCAAGAATGCAAAGTTGGCATAACTATCAATTGATGTAACAAATCATGTTAATAAAATAAAGGGCAGAAATCACATAAATATCTCGATACAGACAAATCATTTGATAAAAGTGAATACCCTTTCATGATAAAATCACTCCATGAACTAGGAAAAGAAAGGAATTTGCTCAACCTAATAAATGGCATCTATGAAAAATCCAACTAACATCACACAGAAAAGTGAAAGCCTGAAAGTCTTCTCCCTAAGATCTGAAACTAATAGGTTATCTGCTTCCACTACTTCTGTTCAATACTGTGCTGGAGGTTCTTCTTTTTTTAAAAAAAAAAATTTTTTTTTTTTTTGACAGGCAGAGTGGACAGTGAGAGAGAGAGACAGAGAGATAGGTCTTCCTTTGCCATTGGTTCACCCTCCAGTGGCCGCCGTGGCTGGTGCGCTGCGGCCGGCGCACTGTGCTGATCTGATGGCAGGAGCCAGGTGCTTCTCCTGGTCTCCCATGGAGTGCAGGGCCCAAGCACTTGGGCCATCCTCCACTGCACTCCCGGGCCACAGCAGAGAGCTGGCCTGGAAGAGGGGCAACCGGGACAGAATCCGGCGCCCCGACCGGGACTAGAACCCGGTGTGCCGGCGCCACAAGGTGGAGGATTAGCCTAGTGAGCCGCAGCGCCGGCCAATGCTGGAGGTTCTTACCAAGGCAGTTAGGCAAGTAATGGAGAAAGGAATAATAATCCATATTGGAAAAGAAGAAGTAAATCAAGTGACTTGACTTTGTATGCTGAAATACTAAGGAATCCATAAATGACTATTAGAGTTAATAAGAGAATTTGGCAAAGCTGCAGGATACAAGATCAATATACATGTATTAATAGTATTCTATATATTAACAATGAAAAATATGAAGGGCAGTAGTTTGGCACAGTGGAAAAATGCCATGTGGGATGCCTGGATTCAAGTTCCTGCTCTGTTTCTGATCCAGCTTCCTGCTAATGTGCACCCTCCCGGGGAGCAGCAAAAGATGGCTTAAGTCCCTCCCACCTGTGTGGAGATTGGAGTAAGTTCTGGGCTCCTGAATTTGGCTTGTACCACACCCGGATGTTGCAGGCTTTTGGGGAGTGAACTAGTGCATGGAAATACCCATCACTTTGCATTCCAAATAAATAAAAATTTGAAAATAATAAAAAAGACTATGATTTTAGAAATAAGTCAATTAACAACAGTGACAGAAACAAAAAAAGTAGGAAAAATTTTAAGAAAGGAAGTGAGTTACTTGCACAATGATAAATATAAAATATTACTTAAAGAAAATAAGAGAACCTAAATAACTGGAAAGACAATTTGTGTTTATTGATTATAAAAGTTAATATTTCTCTACAGATTCAACACAATCCTCATCAAAGTCTCAATTGGTTTCTTTGCAGAAATTGACAAAAATTCACAAGAAAATGAAAGGGACCCACATTAGTATAAATAACCTTGGGAAATAATAAAATTGGAGGATTCACACTTTCTGATTTCAAAACATACAAAAAAAAGGATTGAAGTGAGGAAAATAACCTTATAATTGCCACTAGGTTAAAAAATAGAATTTTTCTAGCCTCTCCTAAAGCTATTGTTATGCCCAACCTCAATTTTAAATTTTTTTATGCACCATGGTGGTAACCACTGTAACTTTTAAAGTAATTATCTTTTTCATATCTTTATAATTTCATTATCAAAGTGTGCATCCCTTAACTCTATACTTTAGTCTGGTTGCAAACAATTTAAGGGAAAAAAATAAAGTCCTGAATTAAGGCAACCCTAAACATATTTCTTTTTTTTTTAAGATTTATTTATTTATTTGATAGGCGGAGTTACAGAGAGGCAGAGGCAGAGAGAAAGAGAGAGAGAGAGAGAGATGTCTTCCATCTGCTGGTTCATTCCCAAAATGCCATCAGTGGCCAGAGCTGGGCTTATCCAAAGTCAGGAGCTAGGAGCTTCTCCTGGGTTTCCCACCCGGGTTCAGGGGCCCAAGCACTTGGGCCATCCTCCACTGCTTTCCCAGGCCATAGCAGAGATCTGAATCTGAAGTAGAGCAGCCTGGACATGAACCAGTGCTCGTGTGGGATGAGCTGCTACTTTACCCACAATGCCACAGTGCCAGCCTTTAAAGGTCTTTCTATAATCTTGATGAGGATTAACAGCATCTTCTGCCTCCTGTTGCAGTTTACCAGGAAGAAAGCTAGAATAGCTATACGCTGGGCAGGTGATTCAGGAAGATGGTGTAATAGGAAGTCCTGTGCCCTCCTTCCCCAGACAAACATACCAACTGAGCAAAAATTCATGGAGAAATTTTCTTTATAAGAAATCCAAGAGCTCATTGAAACGCTGTTAGACTCCAGGTGTCTAAAAATCAGCCAAACCAAAGCTGGTATGGAATTGGGACATTATCTTTCCAGAATCCCTACCACCAGCACAGTGCCATATGATCAGGAAGAAAACCTCCACTTTCAGCCTCTCTTAGGGAGAGGTGGTGCTGAGTCACATGTCAGTGCATCAACTTTTCTAAGGGAACTACCCAGAAAACTAACCACCCAGAAGTCTAGCTAACTGTGGGGAAAACAGAGATAGTGATGCCCTAGAACCCTACCTCCTCCCTGATTCAGCAGTTGAAAACTGCAGCTGCCTGCTCCTCCTAGAGTACACAATGATTTATCAGAGGCTCCAGAATGTCTGACTAGGCTTACTAATGGGTGTATTTTGCTTCGCCGTCAGTGAAGATAGGGACTGGTCTCTAGTTTGTCTGTGTAGACACCAATACAGAGAGTCAAAGACAACAAAGAATCACACAAAGATGTTCCAAACTAAAGAAAAAGAAAAATCTCAGAGACCGATTATAAAGAAATGAAGTTACATGAATCACCTGACAGAGAATTCAAAAGAATTGTCAGTTCTCACCAGTCAAGAAAACAATGTATGAACAAAGCAAGAATTTCAATAAAGAGACAGAAAATATAAAAATGTACCCAAAAGAAATCATAGGGCTGAAGAATACAATAATTGAACTGAAAAAATTCACTAGATGGAATCAATAGCAGACAAGGTTGAGCAGAAGAATC